ATTTTGAATAAATTGACCCACTAGTTAAAAAAAAATCTTGTGTCAAAAAAATATATATCAAATTTTTAAAAATTTAAAAATATGATCAGTTCACATTGACAAACAAAGGGTTTATCATTGATATATAATGATAAATAATTAAAAAATATAATAAACTAGCTATAATATAAAATGTAATAAATGATGAATTGTTTGCTTAATTTGGTCCTAATATGGGCTATATCTACTAAAGATCCTTATATTTTTATTATTTTAAATTATTAAATATCTTAAAATAATATTTAGGGTTAAGGGAAAAAAATTCTCAATAACTTTTTTCTTCAGAAACACTCACTATCTTTAAGTGAATAATGATGCAGGAGCACCTATGAATTTATTTTAGTAAATGAAACTTTCCATGGATCATGAAAATGCCGAACTTCTATTAGTCTTGAAATGGACCACAAATGCGTACTTCTACATTATTGTTCATTTAAGTATATCTGGTGCTATTGAAAAAAAAGTTATTGAATATTTTTACCCCATAATCCCAATATTTAAAATGTATTTTAATCTTGATTTTTGAACTTTAAGGCTGATGATTTTTTTTTTAAAAAATTGAGTTTTCTATATTTTTAAGTATCACAAAGATATATTTTTATATTTTTTATAATAACTAAAATAATTAATTTTAAAGTAAAAATTGAAATTTGTTTAGCATTGAAAAATAAATTTATTTATAATTTGGGTATTTGGTCCTAAATAAACTCAAAAGGTTATAAGGTATTTGAGTTGAGCTTAGTTATATAATTATTTTTATAAATTCAACTTTATTCAAACCTAATTGAACTTATCTCGATTAAGCCTGACTAGCTCAAATTATCAATTTTATTAGAGATATTTTTTTGATTATTCTTTCCAAAATTCTTCAAGACATATAAACTTTACCCCATTGATTCAAAGGAAATGGGATCCCTGCCTTAGTGAGAGAATTTCTCCTCCCTTCAAACCTCACTTGGCTAAATTTGTCCACAAATGTTACAAATGGCTTAAATTTTTCACTTAAAATATAACCTGCTATCTGCCACCTGATCAATGCCAAATGGGGTTTTTTTTTTAATATCATTTATGCCAATTTAACAGTTTCAAAAATAAGGACTAAATGGATTGATAGCAAAAATTTAATAGACTCAATAAAAAGGAAAAAAAATAGGGACCTAATTCAAAATCAAGAAAAACTATAAGGATTGAGAGATTAATTTTTTCTAATATAATTTAGTTATAAAGAAAATTTCTTAACAATGTTAAGTATACAACAACAACAAGAAGAAGCCTTTATCCTATTAGGTGGGGTCGGCTATATGGATTGTAAGACGTCATTATACTCTATTATTTATTAAGCTTTTAGGAATATTACTAATTAAGAGATCGCATTCAACAACTTTCGAGAGTGTTCTCTTAGGCCTTCCTCTACCCCTCTTAATAGAGCTCAAATTATATGTTCCACTCTTCTCACTGATGCCTCCCGCGGTCTTCTTTGTACATGCCTAAACAATCTTAAACGATTTTCTATCATTTTTTCTTAATAGGTGCTACCCTCACTTTTTCGTGTACGTGCTCATTTCGAATTTTATCTTTACTTGTATGTCCGCACATACATCGTAACATTTTCATCTCTACTACTTCAACTTTATACTCTTGTTATCCTGTTAGAGCCCAACATTCACTACTATATAACATAGCCGGTTTGATAACAGTATAATAAAATTTTCCTTTAAGTTTATTAGGCACCTTACGATTGCAAATAACTCCTATAGCTTTTCTCCAATTAAACCACCCAACTTGACTCCTATGTAAAATATCCCCATTAATTTCGCCATCATTTTGAATAATGGCTCCCAAATATCTAAACTTTTTCACTTGAGGTATAATTTGATTTTCTAATTTTACTTCCAAATTACTGTCGACTAGTCTCTTATCAAATTTACAATATAAATATTCTGTTTTACTCCTACTTAGACAAAAACCTTTCGACTCTAATGTCCTTCTCCATAACTCAAGTTTACAATTAACCTTTTTTTTTGTCTTTGCTATAAGAATTATATCATCTATGAAAAGTATACATTTGAGAATTTCCTCTTGAATATATTCCATCAAAACATTTAGGATCAAGTTAAACAGATAAGAACTCAAAGATGATCCTTAATATAGTCCAAAGAAAGTTCTTTGTTTGACCACTAGATGTTCTTATACTACTTTTTACCCCCATCATACATATCGTGTTTGACTTTAATATAAGCAATCCGTACTCCCTTCTTTTTTAAGGCTTTCCAAAGTACTTCTCTTGATATACGGTCATAAACTTTTTTCAAATCAATAAAAACCATATATAAATATTTATCTTTACAATGATATTTTTTCATTAATCCCCTTAGTAGATAAATCGCCTCTGTAGTTGATCTACCTGACAAAAAACCAAACTGATTCTCAGAAATACTTGTCTCCAACCTCAACCTGTGCTCAATTACTTTCTCTCACAATTTCATTGTGTGGTTCATGAGTTTAATCCCTCTATAGTTAGTACAATTTTAAATATCTCTTTTATTTTTATAAATAGAAATTAATGTATTTCTCCTCCACTCATTAGGCATTTTCTTGGACCGTAAAATTACATTAAATAACTTAGTTAACCATTTTACCCTTTCTTCACCTAAATATTTTCACACTTCAATAGATATGTAATCAGATCCGTTGGCCCTACAATATTCAGTATGTAAGTAAAAATTAATAAACTGTTAAATGACAAGTTTGTTTATGTCTTTAATAAATATACCCTTCATATTATAAAAACATTGTTGACATGTTTCTCTTAATAAATTGACACTTTGAGAATTTATTTAGCCGTCACTGCTAGAGTTTCGGAAACCTCCAAAAAGGTCTGCTATGACAAGCACCTCACTACCAGCAACGAGGCTTCAATGGCCGCCAATGCTGGTGGTGGAGAATAACCCTTTTTTCGTTTATACATCAAAAAACAAAACAGAAAAAGCAAACATTAAATTAAGGGCATGTTTGGTTTATGTTTTCTTTTTTTTTTTCAAGTTTTTTATAATACAGTTTTTAAAATTGTTTTCTAGTGAGAGGTGACTCATACAAAGAATGCTGAGTTTACTATGGAAGCTTTTAAGGCATCAAGTCTAGATGGTATCCAGGCTCATTTCTTTTAGCAATAGTGGCACCAAGTGGGGGACAAGGCTAGCGCTATGATTAATAGTTTCTTTGAAAATCCGGCGAAGGTTTAAGGAAGTAAACCAGACTAATTTGGTTCTCATTCCTAAAATTGACAATCCTTCCTCTCTTAAAGATCTGCATCCCATATTCCCGTGCAATGTTAGCTTCAAGCCGATGCAATGTTAGCCACAGAGATGAGAGGAGTTATGAGTCATTTAGTTAAACCTTATCAATGCAGTTTTATTGAAGGGAGACAAAGCTGTGATAATCTTATCATAGCCTAGGAGATCATTCATTCCATGATAAATAAGAAAAGGAAGAAGGCTTTGTGGCTGTTAAAGTTGAGATGGAAAAAGCCTATGACAGGCTTGATTGGTCTTTCTTGAAAGATACTCTTCTGCAATCAAGGCTGGATAACTCCATTATTAATCTTATCATGGTTTGTGTCTCTACAAGTGTCATCAGAGCGTTATTGAATGGAGAAGATACTCCATAGTTCTCTCCATCCAAGGGACTTTGGCAAGGCAACCCTTTAAGTCCTTATCTACTTGTGCTTTGCATGGAGAGACTTGATCATATCGTCGAGAGGGAATGTAGTGCTAAATACTGGAAACCTTTTAAATTTTCAAGTAATGGTCCTTCTATCTCTCATTTTTTTTGCCGATAACTTTCTCCTTTCTTGCGGAAGCTTCCCTGGATCAAATGGAAACAATCAATAGAGTCATGACCAATTTTTATGGAGTGTATGGTTACAGGGTCAACATGAATAAATCTAAACCTTGTTGTTCTCCAACGTAAATCTCAACAAGGCGATGAAGCTTAGCCAACGGGTTGGTGTGAGCTTGACTAGCAATCTTGGTTTAAGTGGAGGTCTTGGTTTTAAAGATCTTTATACCCAAAATAAGGCCTTCATGTGTAAACTATGTTGGGGAATCCTGTTAAGCCTGATACTCTTTGGGTTAAGTGTCTTAAAGTGAAGTATAAATGTGAGAGGGGAGGGCATCTTACTATTTAAAAAAAAAAAAAAATCCTGTTACACTTGGAAGGGAATTGTGACTGTTTGGGACAACTTTCTTAAGGGAGTTAAAAGGAAGATTGTGGGAGGAAATGAGACTAAATTTTGTTGGGCTATCTGGACTCCTAATAACCAACCTCTCATCACCTATGCTCTGAATCATGAAAGAATTGGTAATCCTAGAGCAATGGTTAGGGAGTTTATTACCAATCAAGGTACTTGGAATATTAGCAAAAGAAGATATTTTCTTCCTCTTGATGTGGTTAATCTCTTAAGCAGCATCCCTACTCCGAGAATTGAAGGGGTAGACAGCTATTGTTGGATTGGATCTCCAGATAGTACTTTCATTGTGAAATTGGAGAACAATTGGCTTGCTCCTAGGTGGGTTAAAATTTTCTTTAAGTGTCTCATGAGAGAATTCCAACTAACTCCCTTAGAACCAAGAGAGACTTCTCAGATAATTACTTGTGTTCCTATGAGTGCAACAATGAGGGAACTATAATACATATACTTTCGTGACTGTCCTTGTGTGTGTGAGGTTTGGAGAGCTTTTATTAAACCTAACATGTTTCAGAGTTTCCTTTGCGGTAATTTGCGGGTATGGATTAAATGAAACTCTCAACATAACCCCTGTACTAGCGTACTTAATCAATGGCCATGGACAAAAATATTTGGAAGAGTGTGCTAGATTCTCTGGACTACTAGATGTCAGAAAATTTTTAGTAATGGATCTTCCTAAACTAATGAAGTCATTCACAAGTGCCTAGCCCAACTCATGGAGGATGTTGTCAATCGAACACTCAGAGACAAGCTTTTTCACACAGTGGGTGAGCCTCAAGTTCAATGGACTCCTCCACCTACTGATTTTGTACGAGTCGACGTAGATGCATCAGTTCAGCAAAACCAGTATGCCACCTGTGGAGGAGTGATTCAGAACTCTCAGGGTGAGTGGATTAAAGGTTTCCATAAGGAACTCGGTCATATGTCTGCTGTTACTGCTGGGATTCATGCCATTAGATTGGGGTTAGAAGTCTTCAAATGTTTAGGCTTTACCAGAGTCAAGTTATATTCTGATTCCCTTGAATCCATTAACATGCTGACGAGAGATGGAGGTGTTGATAATAGATTTAGGGATGTTCTCGAAGAAACCAGGAACATAATGTCCTCTTATATTCACCAAGCGTACAGACAAGGCATTAGGGTAGCAAACCTTCTTGCCAGAAATGCCCATGGAATGGGCGAGAACTTGATGGTGGTGCATATATTATGGTCCCTAATGCTTGCAGGGCCTTGATGTAGAACGATTTTGCGAGTAGTTAACTTGCTCCTCGTTGGGTTTTAGTTTCTGTCTCTTGTCTGTTATGTAATTTTCTTCAAGCATTAAGCTTGAGTACTTGCATTTAAAAAAAAAAAAACAAAAGAAAACAAAATAAGTGAAAATTTGTTTGGTTATGTTAATTTAAAAATAATTTTTAATTAAAAAATAGATTAATAATAATGATTACTTACAGTTAATAGTAGTAGTTTATAATATAAATTAGTCAAGCTAACTATATTTTTCAATAATCAAATATAGTATATTTTATAAATAAGGAAAATAAAATGAACACAATTTCAATATGTTCCCATTTTTTGTTTTTAAAAGAACAAAAAATAAGAATAATTTTGAAAACAATTAAATTCAAAAACACTTATCTATACGAGTTTCTTAATTTTTTTTTTTAAAGCAGAAACCAGATATACCTGAAATTAGCAACATCCAAGAGCGCTGAATTAGCCATGCAATCCGCTTCCTTGTTAAAATCACGACCTACATGAACGAGATCCACTTGCTAGTTCCGGTGTAGTAGGCGTTGAATTTCATAAATAATCTCTTGTTCATCATGCAACTCGTGATTCTAGGATTTTAATCAGAGTTAAAGGCTCAATGCAATCAAATGGAGCCGTACACGCGAGTACTGGATTTGCCATGCTCTCTTTAAGCCCATATAACAGGCCCACAACTTTGCCATTAATCTATCACCTATTACAAGGCTCCACATGAACGCTTCTAGAGTTGGAAAATAAAAGGACAGGCTTGACAAACTACCCATTTAAACACGTTTTTATAAGAATTTAGAATCCAAGAAACCAGGCTTTGAAGCCCTAGACAATGAAAAAATGGACTCAAATTCAGCAGCTATTTAAACCCATTTTTGTTTTACCCCTAAAAAATAAAATGCTTTCAACTTTTAAGTTGAATTTAAATTTTAAAATATTTATTACACTTTAATATTAGAATTTATATTATTTATTCATAAGTTTTAAACATTATAATTCATATTTCTAACAAATATGAAATATTATAACTAAAAATTTTAATTTTAAAAAATTCAAAAAAAAATAAATAAATAATAAAAACGTGCTTACAAGCTCAGCCTAAAGCTCTTTAAATAAGAGTTAGATTTCAGAAAATGATTGATTTTAGGATAACCGAACTCATGGGTCTGCTTTCCCGTAGCTCTAAACGCTTCTATGCAGTCTCCATTAAAATCTGTAAATATTCCTCCACAGCCCACATCACCCGTACACCTTGCAAAAACTTCATCAACGTAAGTCGCGAGCGAGGCCATCATGGCGTCATCAGGCATAGTATGAGACTCATCCTGTAATGTAGAATTTGTACCTTGCAGCTTCACAGTCTGCAATCCAAGACACATTTGATTCAATACATTGCAGGATTTCATTCGCTTGTGCAATAACACTCTCCGCGGAGGTTCTTCTATTCTCAAAAACTCTCATTCCTTCGTTTTCCAACCAACACACCAACACTACTGAAAACATATATCACGCCACATAGTCGCAGTTCACACAACATGCGCCTGAAGGTTAAATTTTACACCATTCATGCAGATCTACAGAGAAAAGATTCACGAAGTCTAAACTGGTGATTGGCTTCAGGGGTATTTTCATCATTTCTCATCTAAACCCATTTTTAGTTTGGTCCTTATGTATTGCAAAGCAAATTCAAAATCTAGTCGTCCTTCTTGGCAATTAATCTCCTTTAGTTGTCCTTCATTGAAATTTTCCCTAATTTTATTGCACTACACTGTTACTGTTGCATTCAAATCAACATACACTGTACACAAATCCAACATGTCTGCATGAAATTCAAGTCGTTTTGTAAATAAATTTTCGACTATTTCAACTTTAAAACACCAGAACACCGCCAACAGCAAAACCTCTTGGCCCCCCGAAAAAATAAAATGAAATAATAACAAAGCAAAACTAAAACCATATTATTATTTACACACCATGCACCAAAATCCTGGACAAATAGTTGGCCTAAAAACTAATTCTGAACAAGAGAAAGGACCCTTACAACCCCGCAGCCATATTGAGAAAAATAGGAAACTTAAACGCAGCATCAGAACTCAAATATATGATAGGATTTACAGAATGGACCAAAGAACTATGAAGCTGCATTGTGGAACAAAATTATGGAGCAACCTATAGCAAAATTACAGTCTCTAGCGTGTAAACTAGACAGCGGTAAGCACTATACTGTGAAAAAAAATTTACCCACTGGCTATGAATTATAAACCTAAATTATTTCTTAAGAAAACGTATAGGCTTAGTCACAAGAGGTTCTCATATGTTGTCCTGGTGGAGGAATCACAAAATAGATAGCTTTTTAGTCCTTTTTACGGTCGGCTTTGCTTGAGCATCAAAAAAGTCTCTCTTCCTCTTGGAGTTGTTTTTCTTGTCTTCAGTGATATCAGTATTGTTAAAAGCTGTGTCCACAGTGGTCTTTTCGTCAACTTCCAGTGCATCTTTGACAAAAACTTTTAGCCTCCATAGTGTATAGTCACTCTGAATATAACAGTAGACAGTTACGAAAATATTGGTGGCTTACTAAGAACTTGCTAAATAAAGCAAAAGCATTTATAGGAGGGCAAGTGTTGGACAAATACATGAAAGCAGGAGTTGGCTTCCCCCCACTACCATTGAGGGAACTCTGGAAATCTGGACTGTCAGATTAGATTTGATGATTTAGATTTGATAGTTTTTAAAAGTATCAATTAATTTGTATAGTTCAACTTCAAATTTAATCTAAACGATTTAGGTTTACAGTAGAGGCGTAGTGAGGGGAAAATGCAATGGAGAAAAACCAAGTCAATGAAAGCGAACACTAGTAACTTGCTAAGATGAGAAAAACCTGAGCATCAATGTCAAGGTCCACCTCTCGGGCAGTTGCTTGGAAGTTGGGGTTGTTCTCAGCAACTATCTCCAATGCTCTGCTAATGTTTTCTGGAGACAATTGCGCGATGGCAGTCCCAAGTATTCTTTTCTCTTCAGAAGTCAGTTTCCTACAGCATTGTCAGGAAATTGAATTAAGAAAAATTCGATGCATGCACCAAAAGAAACAGAATGTATAAGAACATATTTTCCCTATAACCAAAACTCTGAACACGTGTTGTGGGGACAATTACCCCCACTAACATTTGGTCCATATATCAACAACGTGTGTAACTACAAAATGTACATTAATTATTGGCTAAAAATATCATATTTAGTACCCTCATTAGTAGTTGATACTAGCTCTAATGCCATCTAAGTTTTTATCAAATATCCCTACATATTTAGTATATACACATAGCATGCATGCATGCAGTTAGGTCAAACATATACGTTATTTTATACATCACGTATCCATATTTCCACTTTTTAAATTTTTATTTTGTTTGATTTGACAAAACTAAAACACTTCTTTCAATTTATTCAAACTTCATCTCGGATAGACTGGGTTTGCGTTGCCTAAGAGTTCCCCAAAAACGATGGAGTCAATCATGGAGTTCCAAAACTCACCTATGGGGGAACATTCGGGCTGAAGAGGCTGTCAGAGGCAGTGTACTGGGAAGCAATGAACCAAGATATAAAAGAACAAGTTGCCAAGTGCGAAGATTGTCAAAGAAACAAGTACGAAGCTGTCAATCCAGCTGGTTTACTACAGCCCTTACCCATTCCTCAACATGTGTGGGAAGATATCAGCGTGGATTTTATTGCGGGGATGCCCAAGACCCAAAGGTATGACACTATTATGGTGGTAGAGGACAGGTTCATCAAGTACGCTCATTTTATACCATCACCCACCTTTTTACTGCAACAGACGCAGCAAGTGCCTTTCTAGTTGAGATTGTGAGGCTGCATGGTTTTCCAAAATCCATTGTATCAGATAGGGACCAAGTATTTGTTAGTCAATTTTGGAGGGCATTGTTCATGCAGCCCAGCACTACAGAGTACAGCTCCAGTTACTACCCTCAGACCGATGGCTAAAATGAGGCGGTGAATTGAAGCCTAGAAACCTATATGAGGTGCTTTGCTGGAGAGTGTCTTAAGAAGTGGGTTAGAATGCTTCCTTGGGCTGAATTTTGGTTTAACTCCTCATGCAATCGACCGCTGGGTACCACACCTTTCAAAGCTTTGTATTGGAGGGACCCTCCTAGGATATTCAAATGGAGGGACGATGATTCTATGGTAGAGCAGGTTAACGAACAGATTAGAGAGAAACGAGATATTGTAGAAACTGAAATTTCATCTTGAGCAGGCTCAAGTTAAGATGAAGGAACAAGCCGACAAAAGAAGAGATGTGGAATTTCAGGTGGCAGACAAGTTTTATTTGTGCATACAGCCCTACAAACTCAAGAATTTGGCCAAGAGGCAGCACAAGAAGCTCGTACTCAGATTTTAAGGCCCCTATGAAATTCTGCAGCGCATTGGTAAGGTAGTTATAAGCTGAAACTACCCAAGATGGCTGGTATCCACCCCTACTTTTCACATGTCTCAACTAAAAAAATCACTCTCATCCTCAGTGACAACCCAACTACTACCTGATTTTCTCTTCAGGGATTGCAAACTGCAAGTGCAACCAGAAGATGTTAAGGAATTGAGGAAAATGACTCATGGTACCCAGCAAGTTCTTCTCAAATGGAAGGGTCTGCCGGAATGTGACAACACTTGGAAGGACAAGAACATTATTGTGACTCAATTTCTGGACTTTCCCCTTGACGATAAGGTGGAACTTCTAGGGGGAGGAGATGATGGGCCCAATACCCGAGTGGACCATGTTTATCAACGTAAGAGGCCCACTAACTCAATGAAAGAACAACAGCACAAGGGTGAGAATGCTAAGACAGATCACAATGTGGGCCCAAAGCCCAAGGACAAAAGAACAGAAGTTGTTATCTAGGGAGGGACGATCATTCAGACAATAGTTGGCTGGAGGGAGAGTGCCTTGATATCTTGAATGTCAGGGGAGTAGTTCTTTATTGTTTATCAGTCTTGTTTCATTCCGTTAACTGTGTTTTGCTGGTATTTGCTACTGTCTTCTTCACTGTAATAGCTTAGTTAGTTACCCTATCCATTTTTCTTCTTCCATTTCCCAATAGAAGAGGTTGTAACTAGCTAAATAGTGGACTAATAATATCATCTCAGTTCCATCACGCATATTTCAAATTAACTTCAATACTAATAGTAGCATCTGCAATAATTGAAAAGGCTTTCTTTGCTTCGAATATCATCAAGAATCGGATGTAAAATCATATAAACGATAAGTGGTTAAACGATTTTATGGTTATTTATACAAAGATAAATTTTCAAATGTGCTGAAAGTAAAAAGAAAAAAAGACAAAACAATGTTTCAAATTATGAAAACTCAGAAAATGGTTATATATGTATATATTCAGAATCTGAACAGCAGCACTCCAACAGTCCAAGCTCTTACCCAAGGGCTCTTTTGAGTTCTAATAATGTTGCTTTGCTGACGGTAAAAGTCCTATCACTAAGTATCAGTGTTGTGATTTGGCAATGTTGAATACAAGAATGCAGACAAGAATGGACAATCAAGACAATGAGCTGGCTACGTTGAAAGAAAAAAGGTAATGCATTCATGGATTTTTTTAAAAAAAAAAAATCAGTTGAAGGACATGGTTAAAGCAGAACTCAGAATGTATGACAACTAAGGTATATGACCCAAGACCCCATAGGGCAGAAGAAACGAATCCAGTTTCATGAGTGGAACGTGAAAGCAGAGTACCAAAGACAGCCATCATATAATTTTAAAGTAGAACAGAACCCAGCCTTAATTGAGTCACGGGTGATGAAAAGCAAGCAAGACCACACAGATAACTACCAAGAAAGCAAATCGCAAGGATGATATGTAATGCATACATGAATGATAATTAGTTAGGAGTGTTAGTTAGGGTAGTTATGGGATTATAGTTCATTGTCATATGGCTATAAAAGAATGGGAGAAGCCATTTGTGGGTAGGCTTGAAAGTTAATGGATTGAAGTATTTTGCTCTTGCTACCTGTCTCTTTCTCTGTTTCTCTTTTCCTCTCTCTCTGTCCCTCTTGCTCTCTACATCTCAATTCCTCTCTTGTTCTTTCTCTTCCTTTCTTTCTCTCTCTTTCATATCTCTATTCTGTAAGAAACAAGCCTAAGGCTAGCACCCATACTAAATTCTCCTTTCTTAGAAAAAAGTAAAACAACTTTAGGAGGCTATTAGATGCTCAGTCAGCTAGGAAGGAGTCGTGCCTTTCCTTCAAATGTGATAAGAAGTTTGAGCCCACCCATAAAAGCAAAAAACAGAACTTTTCAAACTGGTGCTGCTCGCTGTGGATGGGAAAGGCAAAGCAGCAGGAAGCCAGCAACTAACTTAATCTCACTAAGTGGAGTCAACTATATAAATTGCAAAATGCCATTACACTCTTGTCAACAACAAATTTTTCAAATATGTCACACCATGAAACTAAGAGAAACACTTGGTGGGAATGAGGTAGTTATCCCTAATAGACAGTGAAGACTCCCACAAGTTAATTTCTTCCAGTTTGGTGGAAGGGATGAAGCTGCCAGCACAAAATGTAGAGTATAAGTATCAATGAGGAGATCAAGTATGTAGAAATTTATAATAGGATATACAGCCCCAGAAAGACATCAACAACAACAACAAGCCTTTATCCCACTAGGTAGCGTCGGCTATATGGATTGCAAGACGCCATTGCGCTCTATCATTTATCAAGCTTTTAGGAATATTATTAATTAAGAGATCGCGTTCAACAACTTCCAAGAGTGTTCTCTTAGGCCTTCCTCTACCTCTCTTAATCGGACTCGAAGTTATATGTTCCACTCTTCTCACTGGTGCCTCCTTTGGTCTTCTTTGTACATGCCCAAACCATCTCAATCGATTTTCTACCATTTTTTCCTCAATAGGTGCCACCCTCACTTTTTCGCGTACGTGCTCATTTCGAATTTTATCTTTACGTGTATGTCCGCACATCCAACGTAACATTCTCATCTCTGCTACTCCAACTTTATGCTCTTGCTGTCCCGTTAGAGCCCAGCATTCACTACTATATAACATTGCCGGTCTGATAGCAGTGCGATAAAACTTTCCTTTAAGTTTATTAGGCACCTTACGATCGCAAATAACTCCTTTAGCTTTTCTCCAATTAAACCACTCAGCTTGAATTCTATGTGAAATATCTCCACTAATTTCGCCATCATTTTAAATAATGGCTGCCAAATATCTAAACTTTTCCACTTGAGGTATAATTTGATCTCCCAATTTCACTTCCAAATTATTGTCGAATAGTCCTTTACCAAATTTACAATATAAATATTCCGTCTTACTTCTATTCAGACGAAAACCTTTCGACTTCAATGTCCTCCTCCATAACTCAAGTTTGCAATTAACCTCTTCTCTTGTCTCTGCTATAAGAACTATATCATCCGCGAAAAGTATACATTTCAGAATTTCTCCTTGAATATGTTCCGTCAAAACATTTAAGATCAAGTTGAACAATAAGGACTCAGAGATGATCTCTGATGTAGTCCAATCTTTATAGGAAAATCCTTTGTTTGACCACTAGGCGTTCTTATACTAGTTTTTATCCCCTCATACATATCTTGTATGACTTTAATATAAGCAATCCGTACTCCCTTTTTTTCCAACGCTTTCCAAAGCACTTCTCTTGGTATATGGTCATAAGCTTTTTCCAAATCAATAAAAACCATGTGTAGATCTTTATCTTTACAACGATACTTTTCCATTAATCCCCTTAGTAGATAAATCGCCTCTATAGTTGATCTACCTGGCATAAAACCAAACTGATTCTCAGAAATACTTGTCTCTAATCTCAACCTGTGCTCAATTACTTTCTCCCACAATTTCATTGTGTGGCTCATGAGTTTAATCCCTCTATAGTTAGTACAATTCTGAATATCTCCTTTATTTTTATAAATAGGAATTAATGTACTTCTCCTCCACTCATCAGGCATTTTCTTGGACCGTAAAATCACATTAAATAACTTAATTAACCATCTCACCCCTTTTTCACCTAAACATTTCCACGCTTCGATAGATAATCATCTGAGCTTAGGGAAGCAAACTTAGTCTTAGGAGAGGTAAGAGTAAATTGGGGCCAACCAACGATAATGGGAAGAAGGTGATTTGCACGAAGGAGGATCTTCCATTTCAATGACACTAGTATCCTTCAAGGCAAGTCATTGTCTAAGGAGTCGAAACATTTCAAGATTGAATTTGGAGAGCTCACCAAAAAATCATGAAGCAACTAAAAGTACATGGGAGAAAATTAAGCCATCCAAATGAAATCTTACAAACCCACCTTGAGGACAAGGTAAAACTTCTTGGAGAGGATAATGATGGGTCCCAAACGCAGCCAAGATCTATAGGAGACAAGAAAGGAGAAGTAGAATGTAGAGAAGAGGGGACGAAGGAAAGGAAATGAAAGGACCGAGTCCAACAGAAACCACAAGGGAAAAATGGTTAAAGAGGGGAATCCACAGTGAGTAAGAGAAAGGAGTTGTTAGAGAGCAGTAGTAGCAGGCTTTAAAAGGTAAAAAACTGACCGAAAAGAGGAGCACAGAATTTTAATCTGGTTTTGGTTGGATAGCAGCATCCTCCAGAAAGCTGGCAAGTCTGTTCTGTTCTTGGGATTCTTATGTTGTATTTTACCAAGCTTTAAGTATGTTTTCATGATTTTACCCAAGACCTTGTTTGAGTTCTAATGTTAATACCTCCACCTTTTAGCAATTTTCCTGCTGTGTTATATTGATAGGAAGTCCTATCAGAATCATTAATTTCAGAAAGATTTAAATAAAGGGTTCAAGGATATTTTTGCCTCTAAATTATTTTTGCCTCTCAATCATCTAGTAGTCGGTCAAAATCATATTTTGGTCTTTTTACATGGGTAAGAAATAACATGTATCTTTTAGCATTTATTTGTAATTTAGGAGAATTAATCAATATTAATTTTCTTATATGGTACTGGTTTGAAAATTTTCCAAGTCATTTTCTATAATTTTGATGTCCTTTCATATAATTATATGGTCAACTAACAACAAAGCTAACTTTTGCTAATGGTAAGGGTAACATTACATCATTTTTAATTGTTGAAAGAGAACACTACACAAAAAGAGAGTTCAGGAAATCAAACTCTCCTATGTGAATAGTTAAGGGACAAAAATGCCCTTTAACCCTTAAATAAATTAAACAAACAGATTCATAGTATGTTTCTAAAGCAAATTGATCTCGGTTAAAAATGGTAACATTAATGGATGACTCTTTCACAAACCTGCACTTCTGAATCACCATTTCTTTGAGAATCTTCAAATTATTATCAACTTCAAAAAGCTGCAGACATTCGTAAAGCATAAATAGTAACATCAAGCAACAGACTTTAGTTGCACTGGAAATAACAACTGAAGCTAAAATTTAGCCAACCTCAGAGCTTAAATCCCTAGCCATATTGGCATAAGCAGCTTCCCGTGCAAGCTGCATATCTAATTGTGCTTCCAATTCATCCTCTTGTAACCTTTTTTCCTGCAATAATCAAACATAGAAAGGTAGTGAAATAGGAAAAAAGATGCATCATGGGTCACCTAAAATCATTATTGCTACAAAAAGAGCAACCTTAACAAGAAAGGTTATTCACCCCAAGTTAGTCCTCTAATTACCTCTTCAGCAACTTTAGGCAACAGTTGCAGCCACTTCTCCTCAAATCTTTCCAGCAAGGATTTGGCCATAACATGATATTCATTTTTCTCATCGTTGTACTTCATTGCATTCTTAAAAACCAACCTTACATCAGCATAGATCTCTCGAACATTTTTATAACCGGTACCATCCTTGGCTTCCATTTTTCTTTTTATAGTACTGAAATCCATGGGCTTTTCAATAACCTAAGGGTGCAAAAATAAATATTAATTTCAGATATACAACCAACAGGAAAAGGGTAAACAAAGCAGTCCAAGATAATAAGTAGATGGTTAAAGGGGGAAAATCCACAATTAGCAGAAACACTGACCTGGTCAATACTAATTTTTTTTTTCAAATTGAAGAAAAACAAGTCAGTAGACGAATGCATAATTTTTGGGTATGAGATACCATGCAAAAATAGTTTTGTGGCAACAGTGGTATTGACCATGAAAATGCTCTGAAATGCAGAACATTACCTCATAATAGTCATGCAATTGAAGACCTTTAACATCTACAGGCTCCAAAAAAGGCCAAGCCCACTTGTGCTGAGTAATCTAAGAAGAAAGAAATCACATCACTATTGATTTTTCCAAGGACGAATTACTAGAGTCCCATAAAAGCTGCCTAACTACTCTGAAGTCCCATGAAATACACATATAGCCTTAAAGTCCCTAGGTCCTCTGCTGTAAATAAATTTGTTGTCCAATAATCAAGTTGTCTATCCCTTCACGATCATCCCCTTCTCCCCTCTTATCATCCTTTGCTTGTGTGCGTTATTGGCCATTCAAACTCCTGCTCCATCTATCTTCAGCACCACCGCCTTTGCATTCTCTCCTGCCACCACGATCAGCCACCGATACACATACTCGATCGACGTCATCATCTCTGCCTTCCCCTCACTTCTCACACCCCAAAACCCAAACATGGAGTTGAATCCGGCCTCCTTCACCGTCTCATTGAACCTCAGCTTGATATCAAACCTCTCTGCATAGCTTACTAACTAGTCTATGAACTATTGCTTTGTCAAGTATGTCAAGAAATTGCTAGGAAAACCCATGAGAGGAGGCTTGCAGAACTGCTTAGGTATATGAAGGCAAAAACAACCATAGGTCTTGAGCAGCCAGAGAAAAGCTATGCAATACGATCTTTCTAGAAGCATGATGGGGATGCCTTTCTCCTTGAGACAGGTTGCTACTGCAAGCCCTGCAGGACTTGCTCCAACAATTATAGGATAAAGAACCCAAATGTGGCATTGCTGGGAAGGCAACGATTTATTGCTCATTTTGTGAGTGAATTAAGGGTCATGAGCTTGCTTTCCTTCTATCTCTCTAACATGGCAGTAGTCCATCAAGCAAATGCAGTAATGGAGAGATAGTGAAAAATGGGGACGCTAATTAATCTCCATGGCTTTATGTGTACCAAAGCAGGTGGCTAAAGAAAAGGAGAAGAAAACATTGAAGGAAGGTTTTGGTTTGAGTGATTGTGAAGTGAAGGTGGATGATTAGAGCATGTCCTGGGATTTTGGAGGAGATTAAGGAAAGAGTAGGGTCTTATCCACTTGTGGGGAAGAATGTTTGTGCGTGTGCATGTCACAAAGAGTTGGTTTTGTGAAATGGTGAAGCTCAAAGGAGGTGGGATGATCATGAAGGGATGGGCAACTTGGTAATTGGATGATAAAATTTATTTACAATAAAACACCTAGGGACTTCAAGGCTATTTGTGTATTTCATGGGACTTTAGAGTAATTAGGAAATTTTCGTGGGACTCTGGGTAATTCTCCTTTTTTTCAAATGAAACATTATCAGGTCAATTTATAAGATTCAACTAAGTACTCCCTCCGGTCCCTATTATAAAGTGCCTTTATAAAAATTCTTTGGTCCTTAATATAAGTCACATAGAAGGTTATTAACTAACACTTTTAAATTTTACCCCTAGAAAATTACTAAAAGGAGAATTTAATTCTAATTTAGTGTTTCTATATGGCTCCTCAAATGTTGTCCCTCTCTGTAATAGAGGTAAAGTTGGAATATTTTTTAATTTTAGAACAGATTTAATGAGCTAACCATCTTTTCTAGGTTCTAGTGAGGTGGTTGAAAGTGACTTATAATAGGCACTAGAGGGTGTTAAATTCTCAACATCCAACGAGTGTTATGTTGACATACAGGAAAAGACCCTACTTGTAGAAAAAGTTAGGAACAAGAAATCTTCTAAATATGCTTTGATACATCTAAACTTCACAACTATTTGTTCAGGCAAATAAATTAAGACGACAAACCTAGAGAGATGATTCAAAATTTACCCCCTATTCTCCATGAAATTACCAAAGGCCAATAGGGGATCAAAAACAAACTAATGTTTCTAACCATGGTTCTTTGAACAGAAAGTTACTATAAATTATATTTATACTATATTAACCATTCAATATATAGTAGTCTAAAAAAAATAGATTTTTCCAAAAGAATACACAAGCTGCACATATTCCACAAGAACAATTAAGTGACCTCAAAATAGAAGCAAAATAACAAATCGTAATAATAATAGTATTAGCATTATAAATATTTTTGGAGATTGTCACCAAAATTGTAGTATACTCTTTTCTTCCTATTTCATCCATTATGAGTTCACTTCAATTTGGATGAGTCTTCTTTATTCATGAATAACTAAACCACCTATTAAGTAAGGGACTGGGAAAGATTCAGATGCCTGACCTGATGCTAGAAAATTCTAGCACACAATCTCAGACGCCATGCATGGGTTCTAGAGAATTCTAGCAATGGCAGTGCATGGAGGTCAAGAGACCAAAGGTGACACACGTCTTGAAGGAACCAACACAATGGGTTGGAATGAATCATAACCCTAATAAGATAATGCTGGTACAGCAGGCTGGGTTGAGATGAGTTGCAAACCTAACAAGATGCTGTTGGGAGAAATCCCAGCAGACTCAGTTTGAGTGAGTGGCAACCCTAACAAGACACTATTAGAAGGAACCACAGTGAGAGGATATGATTAAGGATTAAGATATGACATTTAAATTTAAATCTAAATATGCATATCTATATGTTACCCTACTAACTAACAGGATAATTATTTAAATTAGACATACAATAAAATAATAACTAATTTAAATAATTAACTAAATGTTAATCAACTAATCTCTATTAAAAACATAAAGTAATCTAAATGAGCACTAAAAGAAATATAACATACGAAGGCAAAGCCAAATGGAAATAGCAACATAATTCTACATGCCTGGCGAAATATTGTGGAAAACTGCCGCATGAGCTCTTGCATTCTCTTTGCAGCAGCTGCTTCCCTACACGATGCATCTTGCTGTAGCTTCTCCGTACTAATAAAATGCTTCTCTCGCCCCTTGTCTTTAATAAGTGAACTGCCTTTGGCATTGCCGCTGGTTTGAATATTAGAAGTGGATTGGTAGAACTGTTCAACCTCGTTTACTTGCTTCTCAATCTGCAAGAAACACACGGCACAAATAATATTTTGATTCCGATATATTCAAAACCAAAGGACTACAAATGCAAATCAGAGGGTTTACACTTTAGCAGAAGAAGAAAAGAGTGATGACAACAAGGCAATTAAATCTAATGACTGGTGATGATACTATACTGACGGGTGATGATTTAGTTGAACTAGAAACACTAAATAAGTCGCTTGAAGCTGAATTTGAATTAAAAGACTTGGGAGGTTTTAGATACTTTCTTGGGAAGGAAGTTGCTAGATCAAACCAAGGCATTGTGGCGTTAAAAAGGAAGCATACCCTTGATCTTTTAAAAGAAACGAGAATGTTGGGAGCTAAGCCAAGCCAGATGAAATACCTATGGAATCCTCATGCAAATTAGATATCGAAAGAGAAGAGGAAGAGGAAGAATCAACCTTAGACAACAAGCTTTAATTCCAATAGATGCTGAAAGGTACAAAAAGCTAGTTGGTAAACTCATCTACCTCTCGCTTTGTTGTTGGGATGCTGAGCAGATTTGCTAATGATCTATGCGAAAAGCATATGCATGCTGTTTACGTAAAATTGAAGTACCTAAAGATGACTCCCGGAATAGGAATCTACTTTGCCAAAAGTAACTCTAAAGAAGTTGAAGTCTATATTAAAGCAAATTACAGGATCTCATCCTAATAGGAGGTCCACCTCTGTTTATTGCACTTTTGTTTGGGGGAATCAAGTAACTTGGAGAAGTAAGAAGTAATTTGTTGTATCCAAAAACAGTGTTGAATCTGAACTATAGGCCTTGATTCATGGAATGTGAAAAGGAATGTGGTTACTCAAACTTTTGAATTGAAACTTGTGACTAACTCACCTATTAAAGAGAGGTGTGATGGTAAGTATGCTATTGGAATGGTGGAGAATCCTATACACCATGAAAGGACTAAGCATGTTGCAATTGACAAGCACTTTATAAAGAGGAGATGGACACAGGGATCATTGATCTAGCCCATATAGCTACAAATTTACAAGTAGCAGACTACTTCACCAAGCCACTAGCTAGAACACAGTTTGAAAAATTTAGAAGCAAGCTAAGAATGATAGCTATCTATTCACTAGCTTGAGGGGGAGTGTTGACATAAGGCTTATAGGGCCTCACAAAGTCTATTTATAATTCATTTATATGTTTTTGCCCCAGTTTATTTAGTCAGTATATTCAAATCTTTAGGGATTTAGATTTGGCCAACAATATTTTCAGAGATTTTGTTATTGAAATAGCACAATGGCGTTGCACAATCCCTATAACCATCCCCACCTAATAGGATAGAGCTTGTTATTGTTGTTTAGGGATTTAGATTGATTTTATTTTAATCTAACTTACATCATGCATCTCAGCCAGATCCTAGTAGATTATCTTATCTAGCATCATACTTCTCCATTTCCTAGTTTACACTTTCTTTTACTTGAAGTTCAAGTTACTTTTTATCTTATTTAGGTTTAAATTATTATGATCATTATTATTTTAATTTAATAATGTACTTAGGGCTCTATAAATAAGCCGAAGGTTATTCTCATTGACTAAGACTTTTTTGCAAAACAAAATTGAGATTAGATATCTGTTGTCTTCTCTCCCCCATTCTTCCTTTTATCCCTCCTTTCTCTCTATTTCTCCATCATTTCTTTATATTTCTCTTCCATTCCTTCTTCTCCAAACCCTTCTTTCCTTTTATCCTACAACAATTTAATATCAAAGCAAGGTTCTTCACACTCCCATCAACCAAAAGGTCTCAAAAACCACACAAGAACCCCAAAAGTTCATGCTTGTTGTACTATTCTATAGACTTTGTGTGGTCAGACCTTATACTTATTATAAATATTAATTGTATATATATTATTATGAGTATATTTTGGGTAGATATCAGGGAGATAATTGAGTATTTATGTAGGAGATATTGTGCAATACCCAAATCTGATTCTAGCTCCATGATTCTTGGAGAGATAGTCGCACACTCACTTGTATACATTTGTATATTCTCTTTCAGTCAATATACGCAGTTTTACACAGTAAATTGCTACATGGTATCAGAGCTATCACCTGTGACTTCCAACGCAGAACAGCTCGACTCTGAAAGCATCGAGAACGAGTTGAACCCAACTTACACTCCATCAACGTCGAAGAGTGATGGGTCCTCAAAAAATGATCCGAGCAGGCCAGGCAATGGTCTCTTTGGGTCGACTACCAGCCACGAAGGATCAACGATGCATATCGTCACTGTCAAACTCAACGGAGCAAACTACCACCTGTGGTCTCAAGCTATGAAGCTAGCGATTGGAGGCAGGGGAAAGATAGGCTTTATCAATGGCTCATCTAAAGTCCCTGATGAATCCGAGACGCAAGGAGCTCTGCGATGGCACAAAGACAATGCATTGGTATCGTCGTGGCTTATAAACGCGATGATACCAGAAATTCAGCAAAGTTTCATGTTTCTTTCTTCTGCTCATGAAATCTGGAAGGCCGCATGAGATTCATACTCTGATGGAAAAGACTTAGCGAGATAGTAAGAGCTTAAAACAAAGACTTGGACACTCCAACAAGGAGATCGTGAGATCACTGTGTTCTGGTTGGAACTAAACTCTATGTGGCAAGAGCTGGATTTGATGACAGAGGTAGAATGGTCAAGTAACACTGATGCTACTCGCTATAGAGAGCAAATTGAGAATGAACGTGTATTTCAATTCCTTACTGGTCTCAACCTATCGTTGGATGACGTAAGGGGACGAATTCTGGGTCGTACACCACTCCCATCAACAAGGGAAGTATTTTTTGAGGTTCACCGCGAGGCAACTAGACGTAAGGTAATGCTCTCTGAAACTTTTCCTACTCCATCCACTCCTCTAGAGTCTGCCGCACTTGTAAGCCAGAGTGGTAATACAACCCAAAAGAATCAGAAAGGGAAGGTCATGTGTGACCATTGCAAAAAGGTGGGTCATACATGTGAGACTTGTTGGGACATCCATGGCAAACCAGCTGATTGGAAGCCACGAAAAGCAAAGGCTAAGGGGTACCAAACCTGTAATGACCCACCACCAGACAAATCAGATCCAATACCTCAAATGCCTCAAGTTGATAAGGAGCAACTAGGTAAGTTACTCGAGATGCTCAATATGCTTCAGAAGAAAGATCAAGCCCAGAAATCAAATCATACTGCTTCTGTAGCTCATAAAGGTAATAGTGCTTACTCACTTCTACTAGTAACTTCAAGTGGATTGTGGATATTGGGGCAACAAATCATATGACCTCTGATTCCACAGTGTTTCACACATATGTCCCTAGTGCTAGGAATGAGATAATTAGTACAGCTAATGGCTCTTCCGCAGCAATAGCAAGAACTGGGAGTGTAATTATTTCTGATGTTATGAAATTAGAACATGTGTTACATGTGCCTTATCTAGCTTGCAATTTACTATCCATTAGTAAGCTAAGAAAACAAGCAAGTTGTTGGGCTCACTTTTGCTGCACTCATTATATTTTTCAGGACCTCTTATCGGGGAAGATGATTGGGAGTACTAAGAAGCATAATGGCCTCTATTACCTTGACGAATCAACCGTGAGTAACCTATGGTCTCGAATTCAATGCAATATTGTATCTACTTCTAAGATAAAAGACTTTAAAGATCTTATGTTATGGCATAGGAGAATGGGTCATCCAAATTTCCAATACTTATGTCACTTATTTCCTGAATTTCAATCAAATAAAATTCCTTTTTTCCATTATACTGATTGTGAATTGGCCAAGCATCAAAGATCTAGTTTCAAACCTATGGAATATAAATCTACCCATCCTTTTTCAATTATTCATAGTGATTTGTGGGGTCCTACTCGTATTCCTAATCGCTCTAATACAAAATAGTTTATCACCTTTATTGATGATCATACTAGAATGTGCTGGGTCTATCTGTTACGTGACAAGTCCTATGTCCCATCCATGTTTTCTGAATTTTACACAATGATCAAAAATCAATTTGATACTACCATTCAAGTCCTTCATACCGATAATGGAACTGAGTATTTTAATCAATCAATGAATCTTTTTCTCAAAGAACACGGAATTGTCCATAAGAGTACATGCCCCAACACTCCCCAACAAAATGGTATAGCAGAGAGAAAAAACAAACACAAAGGAAGTTGCTAAGGCATTACTCTTCACCTATAATGTTCCCAATATTTTTGGGGAGATGCTATTCTCACAGTAACTTATTTAATAAATCATTTACCTAGCTGTGTCCTTTCCTATGTTTCACCTTTTGAAAAATTAAAAGAGTCCCATTACATAGCCCATCTTGACACCAATCTCCCTCTTAAAATATTTGGCCGTACCTCTTTTGTTCACTCTCACTTTTCTCACAAATTGGAACCAAAAGCTGTGAAGTGTATTTTTCTAGGCTATTCATCAACTCAAAAAGGTTATAAATGCTTTGATCCTCATACCCGACGTCTGTACATTAGTAAGGATGTCACGTTTGTCGAAACTGAACCTTTCTACCCAAATGCCTCAATTCAGGGGGAGTGGGGGAGTGATGTGAATGACTTTCAGCTTTTGGATACCATTCCTGAAATTCCTGAATCTCTTCCAGCATCAGAAAGAACACTTACAGCACCAGAAAACTCCCTTCCAGAACTGACAGATCCTAATTTCCTTGTCCAAAAACCCACTGAGCCTAGGATCCAACCTTCTAAGCCAGAAACTGAAGTGAAAAGTCTCTCAAAGAATAATAAGAATGCAGGTAGTGCACTGGAGAAGACACCAGCAGTTTACTCTAGAAAAACATGAAGGGATAAAGAAACTATTATGCCTGAAGCACAACCAAAATCTGAGCCAATAGAGGTTCCTAGAGCTGAGACTGAGGGAAGTGAGCGCCCCCTATGTGAAAATGGAGGGGGTGAAATTGAAGAACCTGGTGATATGGACCTGCCTATAGCCCTCAGAAAACAACCCAAAATCTGCACACAACATCCTATTCAAAGATTTGTAAGTTATCATACTTTATCTCCCCAGTATCGTGCCTTTGTAACTAATCTTGATAAGGTGAGGGTTCCTAAAGATATACACGAGGCACTCAGTATACCAGAGTGGAAGAATGCTGTGATAGAGGAGATGAATGCCTTAAAACGAAATGGCACTTGGGAGATAGTAGAGCTACCTCAAGGGAAGAAAGTTGTGGGATGCAAGTGGGTTTTTACCCCTAAATGTGATGCTGCAGGTAACCTGGACAGGCTGAAAGCACGATTAGTGGCAAGAGGATTTACTCAGACCTATGGTTTGGACTACAAAGAAACATTTGCGCCTGTAGCCAAACTTAACACCATCAGAATTTTGATTTCTGTGGCCGTAAACATGGACTGGTAGCTGCACCAATTGAATATTAAAAATGCTTTCGTGAATGGTGATCTAAAAGAAGGAAGTGTTCATGACATTTGCCCCCAGGTTTTGATGAAGGAAAACCCAACAAAGTGTGCAGATTGAAAAATTCTTTGTATGGTTTAAAGCAATCACCTCGGGCCTGGTTTGATAGATTTTCAAAGGTTTTGAGAATTGAAGGATATAAGCAGGGGTTATCTAATCATACTATGTTTGTGAAGTCTGAGAGTGGAAAAAGGTGCATAATCATTGTATATGTTGACGATATCATCATTACAGGTGATCACGAGGAGGAAGCAACCAAAATAAAGAAGGCTCTAAGTCAAGAATTTGAAATGAAGGATCTTGGCAACTTAAAATATTTCCTGGGCATAGAAGTTGCGAGATCATAACGCGGGATTTATGTGTCCCAAAGAAAGTATATTTTGGATTTATTGACTGAGACAGGCATGCTGGGGTGCAAACCAGTAGATACACCCATTATAGTAAAAAGGAAGAAAAGGGAACAAAAGAAAGATACAGAGGAAGAAGAAGAGCCGAATGAGGAAGGAAGTGAACCAATAGACAAAGAAAGATATCAAAGATTAGTGGGGAGGTTAATCTATCTCTCACACACTCGGCCAGATATAGCTTTTGCTACAAGCGTTACAAGCCAGTACATGTGTGATCTAAGAAAGAGACACATGGAAGCTGAATATAGAATTTTGAAGTACTTGAAGGGAACAGCTGGAAAGGGGTTATTATTCAAGAAACAAAACCTGCGGTCTATTGAGATCTATACAGATGCGAACTGGGGAGGAGCATACCAAGATAGAAGGTCAACATCAGGATATTGCTCATTCATATGGCGCAACCTTGTTACATGGAAAAGTCAAAAACAGAGAATAGTCTTAAGAAGTAGTGCAGAATCAGAATTGAGAGCCTTAGCTCAAGGCATCACTGAAATATTATGGGTAAGACATGTCTTCGAGGAAATACAGATCCAAGTAGAGTTTCCATTAAGACTCTACTGTGATAACAAAGCAGCAATTAGCATGGCATTAAACCCAATTCAACATGAATGATCTAAGCGCGTGGAGATTGACAGACACTTTATAAGAGAAAAGGTTGAAGAAGGAGTTGTGTGCCTCATCTACTTATCAGCTAGACTCCAAGTTGCTGATGTGTTAACCAAGGGTCTACATAAGCCATCATTTGATAATAGTATGAGCAAGTTGGATATGATTAACATCTATAATCCTACTTGAGGGGGAGTGTGGTCAGACCTAATACTTATTATAAATATTAATTGTATATATATTATTATGAGTATATTTTGGGTAGATATCAGAGAGATAATTGAGTATTTATGTAGGAGATATTGTGCGATACACGGATCTGATTCTAGACCCATGATTCTCAGAGAGATAGTCACACACTCACTTGTATATATCTGTATATTCTCTTTCGGTCAATATACGCAGTTTTACACAGTAAATTGCTACACTTTGCACTCACAAAGGCAAGTATACTTTCATATGAATTATTTTATTTTAAATATTACAGAATTAGTCATGATACTTTTGTCAATAAGTATAAAATCAAAGTTATCACATAATTCTTAGTAGAATGGTTGTTGGAACTTTTAATAGCTTGTCCAACATGAAATTAAACTCCATGTTGTCATTTACAATGCTGGGACAGATGTTCCAATGTTATCTTTTAATAGTTCTTCAAGTGCATTGTAAAGAATAGGAAATTCCTTTATTGCCTATTTTTTAGTCTGTATCTCTTTGATAAACTACCGGAAGTGATATGAACAACTTTTTCTCCATAATTCTATATCTATGAGGTGGTGGCTTGTCATGTACTCTTAGACGTAGAGAACTTCTTGATTTTCTATTATCCCTCATTGGATTTTAGTGAAACTTCACCTGTTCAACTTACAACTTGCTTTGAAACTGCATTAGTTGAAGTTCTCTACAGTGAGTTTTGATCATTTTGTGTTTGATGCTGTTTCAATTACCATAACAAATTTTTCATCTTACTCTTGTTTTATCCAGTGCCTTAACGCACACAGGAAAGTGCTTTCCCATAGACATTCATTGCAAATATACAATCGAATTTCAAATCAAATGATTTTGGAAAAACTGTTTAACTGTTTAACTGTTTAACAATATGCCAAGGACCACTTCAATCTAAGTTTGATATGCTTCAGTTTATCTGAATCAAAACTAATAGAACATTGAGAGTGACAAAATAAGTCTTAGTGCCATTACCTGCCTTAAAATCAATATGGGGCCACACAAGGTTAATAATCATCCATAACTGTAAAGAGATGTGAATCTAAAGCTACCCTATTGGAAAAATGGTGCCCATGAACAATAAAATGACCAGCAGTAAACCCCAAATCATGATAAATATGCGAAAAATAGGAGAAAAAGTTTCATCTTTGGTTCACTAAGGGCCATAATGAATGCAGTAATATTAAAAACCAGGTCAACTATCTGCGCAACAAATATATTTTTTTTAGACGGAAATAATAAAAGCCGAAAGACAAGTAGACAAATCATGGAGTCCAGTTTCAGTTTGAGACATTTAAATTCACATTCTTGACATCAGCGAGAAAACAATTGCAATATATGAAGACCAAGAAGAAGAAGCATTCCATTTTTATGCCCAATAAAAAATGGCCACAACTTAATAATCATCCATCACACAAATCGGAAAGCACAAACTCACCTTATCAACAGTAGCAAGAATTTCATCAAGGGAATGCCTAAAATCTTCCATTGTGAGAATCAATCACCCTCTAATAATCACATTCGCTCCTGTGGAAAGAATCATCAAGGGTTTCAGAAATTTGAACAAAAGTTATCAGCACAGATAATAATAATAATAACAACAACAACAATTAAACATTCGCAACTTACCAAACAATTCTCGACCCAACTCGAGCTTTCCGAACCTTTCTCCCTCTCTCCCTTGCCAACGTCAAGACTACACAGTGAAGTCACAGTTAGTTACAACCCTTTTCTTCCCTTCCTGATTCCTCCTTCGTCCATAACGTCTGCTGCGCTTTCCCTCTTTTGAGTTCGACTGCCGTTTATTTTGCACGTCTCATTTTTTTTTTTGGAACTCTTGGGTATTAATTTGTTCGTTTTGCCAAAAGAAATTAATTTAAATTATTAAATATTAAATAATTGAATATTTTTAGTGAAGCACATTAATTAGATTATACAATTTCACAAGAACATTAAAATTTAATAAAAGTTAAAATCGAGTGATTATTAATTTAATAATTTTATAAAAAATTAATAATATTTAGATAATATAAAATAAAATTGTATAAGCAAATACAAATAAATAACTATAATAACAACTGTATAGTTAATTTTATCTTTTTGGGAGAAACAACAGAAAATTGAGAGTAAATATTGATAAATATTACTCCCTCTATTTAAAAATATAAGGCATTTTTAACAAATCTCACTCTTAATAAAATAATTATTTTTTTTCAAACTAATAATATTTTTTCATATTCACCCTTATTTAATAAGGTGTTTTATCCTAAAATAAATATAAAGAATTTATTTAATAGAAACACTTTTGATAAAAAAAATACTGATTATACTTTAAAAGATTAAATATACTTTATCTTTTTTAACATTTAACTTCTTAAAAAATATTTTATATTTTTTAATGGAGGGATTATGTTATTGGAAGAAATAACAGAAAATTGGAAAGATATCTTAATGAAATGAGTTAGAAAAAGTTCTAATAGTTAAAATTATTAAGACGACTGGATACAACCAAATTAAATCCTAGAGCGTTTAAAGATTTTGCCTTAAATATAAAATTAAGGATGAATAAGGGGATAAAAGTCCTTAAAAATAAGAATAAGATTAAAAGAGAATAATAAATAAGGACTTGTAAGAACATTAATAACAAATTAAAAATTTTAGTATTAAATTATGAGAGAAGAAGTAATAAATTTAAGAATTTTAGTATTAAAAAATTTTAATTTCACGTTAATATTTTTATGAAGTTCTTAATTATCATTCTTCTTGAGAGTAAAAGGGCTTTGAGAAGTTAAAAGATTTAAAATGCAAAAAATAAGCCAAAAATGCCAAGATCCAAAAGCGGCATTAAATTAAGGAATCTTATGAATAGTGACAATTTTAAAAAATGATCTACAGTAAACTATGAATAAACTGTTTTTAAAAAATCAATTTTAAAAAATTAACATCATTTTAAAATTCTTTTTAAATCGCATTTTAAAATCTTATTTATAGTTTAGATTGTTTTTTTGTTTTTTATCCCTTTAGAATTTTTTATTTTTATTCCTTTTAAATTTTATTTGCCTATGCAAGATTTTTTATACATGGTTAAAATTAGTAATTAATTTCTTTTAGTTCTTTTAGTGCCGATGACATTAACATTGGCGTCGAATGAATTATAGATATATAGGGGTAATAATTTTTTAATCACTTTTTATGGAGAAGAGTTTAATTAGAAGTAAAAATTTTAAAATAAAATATATTATTAAAGTTGTTAGTTTGTACTAAAGGAAAAAAAGTTTTATCTCTCCCAACGCAGGGAAGATAAATAATAGGCCTGTCTCAAATAATTACTACAAACATAAGAACTGAAATTTAAACAGTCAATCATTTGCTTAAATAAGCACAGCCCCTACATGTTCAAAATTTACTGTACATGTACAGTAAAAATAATTTTACTTTATATCTACATAAAATTATAATTGTACTGTTTTTTAAAAAATCTATTTTAAAACAAAATTAAAGATTTTAAAATTCTTTTTAACTCATATTTTAAAATCGTATTTGTCGTTAGGTTTTTTTTTCGTTTGTATTACTTTATATTTTTTTATTTTAAAATTTTTCCTCTTAAATTTTATTTGCGTATTCAGGATTTTATATATATGGTTAAAATTATTAATTAATTCCTTTTGTTGCAAATGACATTAAAATTGGCTTTGATTAGTTATTAATTTCTTGAATGAATTATAAATATTCACAGTGTAGGGGTAGTAAATTTTTTTAATCATTTTCCTTGAAGGAAGGCTTGGTTAGGGTAAAATTTTAAAATAAAGTATATTATTAAAATTGTTAGTTTGTACAAAAGGAAAAAGTTTTAAAACAATTTTTTTATCTCTCCCAAGGTACAGAAGATAAATGAGACTTTTCTTAACTAATTGCTAAAAACACAAGGGCTAGGATTCTATGAGAAAATCAGATACTTCCTTTAAAAAGCTGCTTGGAATCGGCTCCAAATCAACTATGCCTTCACTAATGGGAATAACCCTTGTCCAAAGCTTTTCCTTTATGGATGCAATACGCTAGACTCCTTAATTCACATTTTGCGGGATTGTAAGGAAGCTCGGGAAGTTTGGATGAAATTGGTTAAGCCTTCTAATTTTAATATCTTTTTTTCTCTTCTATGCAAGAATGGATAGCTTGGACTGCAAATAATACTACTGGTCATTCAAACTCAAGAAGTTCTCCTTGGCAAGAACTTTTCGCACTAGTATGCTGGAACATTTAGAAGGCAAGATGCAAGGACCTCCATTTAGAAGAAGATCCACCATGTAGAGATATTGCTTTCACTAGCAAACAGCAACTAACTAATTATATTAGCTTTCATTACAAGAGTAGTCACTTATTCAAGGAGGTTGTAAGACATGAAGCAAAATGGCAGCCACCTAAAATAGGTTGGACAAGACTAAACATTGATAAATCTGTTAACATCAATGGATTTGCGGCATGTGGAGGTTTAATTCGTGATGCCTATGATAATTGGCTTAAGGGATTTTCCAAATATCTCGGTTACCACCCAAGCATGGCTGCTGAACTATTAGGCATCTTAGAAGACATTAAGCTTTGTTGGGATATCAAACTATCCAAAGTTAACATCTATTCGAACTCTCTCAAAGCTTTATCCTTGATTCAACACAACTTCTCTAGAAATATCCTTATTCTATTATATCAACAAGATCAGGAAATTCACTATAAGAAACTGGGCAATTACTTTTGATCATGCACAAGAGAAACTAACAGATGTAGTGATTTCCTCACTCACCAAGCTCCCAACAATAATTTCGAGCTAGTGATTTTTCATGAACCACCTTCTAGGTGTAGTAATATCATGTATTTTGATATGACAGGATAATTTTTTTCTCACACTGGTTTTCCGTGGCTTTGTACTAAAAAAAAAAAGAGGCTAGGATTTGAGTTCTTAACCACTTGCTTAAATAAGCAAAATCTTTATCACTCATGACAACTTTCATTGATTAAGTTTTTTATTTTAAATTTTATGTGAGTATGTTAGATTTTTTGGTATATGGTTAAAATTAATGAGACCTCTCTCAACTAATTGCTACAAACATAAGGATTAGGATTCAAATTCCCAATCACTTGCTTAAATAAGTAAAACTTTTACTTCTCACACCAACTTTAATTGATTGAATTTTTTTCTTTTAAAATTTATGTGAGTATGTTAGATTTTTTGGTATATGGTTAAAAATTAAAATTAGCAATTAATTTTTTGAATGACTTATAAATACATAGGATGTATATATAGGGTAATAATTAGAAATAAAATATGTTGTTAAAATCTTTAACTTGATGAGGCAACAAATTATTAAATAATTGTTTTATGTTATTATCTAGATTATATTTTAAATTGAACCCAATAAAAATTTACAGAGTAAAGTAAGATATCATTTTTATTTTTAATATGTAAAAAATAAAAAATAAAAATAAAAGAAGTTCAAATTTTTGTAAAAAAATTGTATTTTTATGTAACATCTTTTGTAGTTCTTATATTTATAAAATGCATGGGATGTTAAATTTTGAATTGCATGGTGTTATTAATATTTTTTAAAATATGCACAAAGGTAACAAATTAAAAAGGATGACTGGTAATTATTTAAATTTTTTGGCATCATTTTAATATATTGTTTATATTTTGATAAGTTTGATTTTAAAATTGAAAAAATATGGTTAAAATTTTTTAATTGATTTTTCTTGTTTTTTTCTCCTACATTTTCTCTCTATTAAAATGTCATGATTATGTTTGTCCAGATTTTTAGATAAACTTAAAATCTGTCTTTCCTCACTCTTATCATCCTCCAACTAATTAAATAGAAGACATATTAATGTTCTTTATATATTGCATGGGATCTAACATATTTTATTATGTAATTATTGTCATTTGGGTAGCTCTCTCTCCCTCTCACTTCTCTTTTATGTTTTTTTCCCATTTTATATAATTTCGTTTGCATGCTTTAAATGTTATCGTTATAATAAAATAATATATAATAAGTAACAAATACTAAATAAAAATGAAAATAATATAGGTTGAAGATTCTGTTTAAAAAGTTGAAAGAGACATTATATTATTAATATGTAATACACTAAAGTTTTTAAAATTATAATATTTTACATCATGTATGATAAAATCTTTCTCATGTGTTGCATGGGGGCGAATTCTAGTTATGTTTGTATGTCTCATAAACTAGACCAAACAATACTGGGTATTCCAGAAAGGCATGTCACTGGACTTTGGCTCACTTTCTGAATGCAGTGGTAAGCTCTATTTCTTTGTACAAGCTCCCAAACATAGAGAAATTTTTTATCTGATAAGAGTATGTTGGATTTACTATTTCATGGTAGTTTTTTTTGGAACTTTTGCAACTGCCCGAAGTGGCCCTATGATAGGCCCTAAAGAAGTTCTAGAAGATGATTTACACAAAGGAAAATGAAATCAAACAAGATTTTGATGGCATGGAAATGTGTATGAAATGGCCTATAGATATTGCTTGAGCAGTGCTAGAAGGATGAAATGGTCATTTTCTTTATGAGAAGTGGTGTGCCACAAGAGGAAGGAGGGACGAAATGATCAAGATGGTTTAAGACATGTAAAGAATAAGCCTTTTAAGAACCTAAAACTGTTATTTGACTTGTTGACCTAATTGTTTCGGAAATAACTCAACTAAACTAAAGCTAATCAAGCCAACTAGAAGAGTGCTTGGTAGTGTGATCTCAAGCAAGGAGGTTAATCACATACTTTTGAACTATCACAACAAGTAGCATGCAAAGAACTAGTAACATGATCATCTAAAGCAAAATCAATCATTGTTATATTCACTATAGAATGCTCTTCAAAAGGATGCATCACTGCCTTATAAACATCAATTGTAACCTTTTTACCCCCAAAGTTAAGAGCTCGAATTCCCTCCTTCATGTGAATTATGGCATTTGAGTCTCCCTTGCCTTTACTTGCGATAACTTAGCACTCCATGGTTGAAGAGTGAAGACCAAACGCTACATTCTTGAATGACATCTTGGGTCTTGATTTTCAGCTCATCTTATTGAAAGCACACCCATTCACGCTTGGATCTTGGTTCTTTTAGCCCAAATCTTTCGCAACTCATTTGTAGAATGTCCAATGATGACTTGCACATGATATCACATTAACATATTCAAGACAAGCTGGCATCAACTATGAAAGAGCAACATGCTCAACACAACATTGATCACTAATCAACCTTTAATTAAAGGGTGATGAACATATGCCTAAACAATGGGGAGAAGCCACAAGGGATTACAATGAACTCTTTACATAAATACCTAACCTTAATTATATATGTGTTTATGTTAACAACTAATCATAATTAACAACTAATTAATATTTCAATACATTCTTTAAGATGAATGTTGAGGCAACAAGTGGGAGTGCATGTGGAGGTATTATTCTTCACAACAATAATGGCGACGTGATTAATGGGTTTTGTTCTAGGTTGGGAGTTGGCAATAGCTTTTCTGTTGAAGCTTAGACGATGGTCTGGTATCTTAAAGTTGCTTGGGAAAATGGCTGCGATGACATCATTCTAGAGAGTGATTGTTGTGACTTAAGTCTTGTTGCATGGGGATTATTTTTTTCAATTGCTCACAAGTATTCTCTTATTGGAGTAATCTTATTTGAGACATGATCAAGCACTAAATACGGGCACATTTTTTGATAGAAATTCGAACCTTGATTTGTCTCATTATAAAAAATTAGACCTTTCTATTAAACTCAACTCCAAAAATTACATGGAGATTGTTTTATTTACTTCTCCCCCTCAATTGACACTTCATGGGCTGCATTGTGATATAAGGACTACAGTTTGCTTTGTTTGTGTTGAATTGAATACATTGTTTGTTTTTCTATTTACCAAAAATGGAAGAGTTGCAACATTTTTTAAAAATAACTCCTAAAAATAGGAGCGACATATCTTAAATGATTTTTTTATCAATAACACACATAGGACAACTAAAAGTGGGAATCAAGGCAAGCCCGACCCTTAAAGGCTCAGGCCCTGAAACTTGATTATCTAAAATTTGACATAATTCTGAGGTCCGGATCTTATTTATAAGGCTCAGGGCTGAGTCTTTAAGCTCTCTTTCTCCAAAAAAATTTAATATTTTAATTTAAATAGAATATTTTAAAAATTAACATAAAAGAAATTAAAATCTCACATAAATTCAACAAAAAATTTTAAATTTAAGATGAAGATTGAAATCTTCATCAATGCAAATCTAAATCCTCTTTATTATCATCTAAACATAAAATATTAAATTCCTCAAATGTAGATCTGTTTGTTGAAGATAGAAGTAGAGATTTAATGTCGATTATCTCTACAATTTCTTTTTAATCACTTACAATAAATATCAATTAAATTGTATCATTATCAGTCAAATATGTGTGTATGTGTAAGATAACCTGACTTATCAGAATTTGAAGGGCTTCTAAGCTCGACCATTATTCCCTACTCTAAGGACAACTTGTTAGTTTTACAGGTTTATGTTTAAATTAAGAAGACTAATAAATAAAATGTGAGTAAAATTAACCATTTAGTTCCTTTAATTTTGATTGAATTATAACTTAATTTATAAATTTTAACTTGTCATAATTCAACCATTATAATTTTAATTTAGTTATAACTCAGTCTTAACTTTTAATTTAATTATAACTCAGTATTGAACTTTGATTTGGTGCAATTTAATTTTTATAATTTTAACCATTTAAAACAATGATTTCTATATTTTAAAAAATAAAATTATAAAGATTAAAAATATTTTAAAATTTAAGACTAATATTTTAAATTACTCAAAACTTTTAATATTTATAAAAGTTACAATTATTTTTTATACAGCATAGGGACCAAAATTTTTAAATGGTTATTACTGTGAGAATTGAATTACACAAAATAAAGGTTTAGGGAATGAGTTACCTACAAACACTAAATGATTAATTTTAACTAAAATACATTTTAAAGTATTAAGGATTAAAAATTACTGTTTTATTCAAATATTATTAAAATATTAATAATGTTTTTTCCAACTATCCAAGTTGAGCCCAAGAGAGGAAAAGAAACTATCCGCAGCACCACATTAATAATTTAATATATTTATGTGCTTGTATTCAAATTTTAAATTTGATTGTAAAATAAAAAAGAGAAAGGAAAGAAAAACGCATGGTCATCCAAGGTCGCCAGAGTCTTGTGACTCTAAACAAGAGTATGTGTAAGATTACATAATTAAACTGCGACAGTTAGTCGATAAAACCTCTCTCAAGTAGTAAATAAAATTTAGGAGCGCGCCGAGGCCGTTGGCGCATCAGATTTTTCATTGGTGACAAATTCTTTACACCGCCAGCACGAAAACTGTTGACGGACAAGGATACAACTATCTGAACTCAGCATAAATCACCACTGATCCGCTACCTCATTTTCACGGAAGACCAAAATGTTGCCCCATTCGAGTGGTAATTGAATAATCCGAATGTTTCCATGTACGCACTTAGAAGTCATAGCTTTGCTGTCAATCGACAACATAGTTTGGAGCCACAGCCAAGATTCGGTCGTTTCTAGATATTGATGTCACGTGCTCTGCACCTGCAGCCTCTGAAGCTTCTTGCCTACCATCATCTAACACTATCAAATGGCCTTCCCTTCGAATCAAACTCTACAGCAAGTGAATGGTCTTGTTAAACATGCCAGATCTGGATGCATATTAGTGCCTAAATTCTAGGAAGGGTATAAAAAAGTGTACCTCGATAATAGCTTTAATTTTGGTAATTTCTGAAGCTGCCTCGTCCATTGAACTGTAATTATTTTTCTCATTTTGCTGGCCTACATACCATTGGATCAAATCCCGTTGCCTCATTCCAGTCAAACCAGTTCCTGGAGTTAACAAGCCCATGGAAAATTTAGCTTTCCCATATAATAACTCAGTGGAAACAAGATAAGAGAATATAACTCAAATCAAGGAGATCGATTACATCGATATATTCTCGGCTTAAACTAGATAAAGGGCACGAAATATTGGGGAAAAAAAACTTGAAAAAGGTATAATATAGAGGTCATTTAAACCAACAGCACGTTAGTCAGTTCTTCCACATCTAGCATTTAAATGACAAACAATTGAAAAGAAAAAAAAAAATCAACTGCTCACCTTGTGCAACAGTTTCTTCATGCTGTCTAAGGCGCATAACAAGGGCTTGGGTAACTCTCTGGAAATATTCATCGCTTATAACAAGTTTCTTCCCTTGTTGAGGGGCAGAACCTTCTGCTGCACCCTCTGAAAATATCCATCACCTTTAGTGGAAATATTTATCACAAGTGTGATCATTTTAAAGTAAAGTGGGTACATGAAGCCTCACCTTTCGTTCCATCAGTTTTCCGATCTGTAGCACTTCCCCCTTGACCACCATCGTCGTTTCTGCTATCAGGTCCATCACCACCACCAGTGCTGTCATCTGGGTTTTCTTCTTGAAATTCAGACAGATCAATTTCACTGGACTCCACACTGCAGACAAAAGAAATAAAGTTATCAACTCCAAAAAGCAGCTAACATAACGGGATGGGAAACAAGAAATTATTTTTGTACATGCACATGGTAAGAAATGGAAAGAGGTAAGGGAGGTTGGGAAAGGGAAGATATAAAAAGGGAGATAGCGAGAATGAGGGGAAGTCATAAGATATATATTGTTGATTGTCATCTTGCCTTATTATGGATGTATTCAGCAGTCTTACTGCTATGCGAACATGACGAGGTTGCACCTGAAAAAAGCCTACGTTAGCCCAGAACAGGAAAATATGCAATGCTAAATGCAGGAAGATGAGTTCCCAGATCTTATAGCACCTGACTTTCCAAATGACACCGTGCAATGGCCTCAGACAGCCTGATTAATGCCTCCAACTGCCTAACAGTCATGCGATATGCAACTCTACTACCAGGGTTCATATCTCCTCTCCGAAGGGCAACATAAGAATCTACTAGTAGTTTTCTGGCATCTGGATTGAGCTGCATTAATTAGGCTATATAAGAAAGAAGCTCATAAAATTCATAACCATTCAGGCAAGCAAATGGTCTTAAAGGAAGACAATTCATCAAACCTTCGGTTTTAGAGTTTTTGCATAAGCTATATAGCGCTTTAGTTCTGCTGTACTGAATGATGGAGTCAGAGCATCTTCACGCTTTTGATGAACTCTCACAATGTGATGGGCTATGTGGTAATCTGTCTGGTCATCTGGGTCATCAATCATGACATATACTAGATCGAACCTTGATAAAATAGCTGGTGGAAGAGCCACGTTATACTGAAAAACAAGTAATTAGGCCATTTCATCAAGAAGACGGGAGCAATAGCACATGATTTTCCAATAATCGCAAGTCTATGTATCAGAAACAAGAGCACTGACCTTGAGTGGTTTAGATTTGTCATATCGTCCCCCAGTAGGGTTGGCAGCAGCAAGAATGGAAGTACGTGCATTAAGTGTGGCTTGTATTCCTGCCTTGGTGATACTAATTGTCTGCTGCTCCATGGCCTCATGAATTGCAACCTTTAATTCATTCAAGAGTGAGTTACAACCCAGCACATGACCACAGGATACCAAATTAAAAAAAAAAAAAATTATGCCCATTACCTGATCTCTGACGTCCATCTTGTCAAATTCGTCAATGCAGCAAACACCATTGTCGGCAAGCATCAAAGCACCAGCCTGGAGTTATATACAGTATCAGAAAATACAAATAGTTGAAGACAGTATCTAATATTATCAAACAATCCAATAAAAAGGTCGCATAAGATCATAAAAAAGAAAAATCAAACTCCTTTGCTGTACCTTCATGCTTTATTAAGGCAGCATAGCTCAGTCCATATCATTTCACAAAACAATTCACATGCCACTTTTGTATGGTTTACCAACATAAAATTCTAATTGCTCACGACATCATGCTAATGGCAAAAGTAAATAGCATAAAAATCAAGAATGGATATACGAAAATCTATTATACAAGCATCAAAGCATGAGAGGCTCTCAAATCCTCATTCAATAATTGATTCTAGTATATATGTAGTATAACATTTTATTGTTTCTTGTTTCCATTTTGAAACAAGAAGATTTCCAAAGCTTAAAAAAATATGCATAACCAACTAATAGATTTCATAATTCCCCTGTTCATTCTAACTTTAAACTAGGGATGTAGAATACTCCTTATATTACATTTCAACTTCTTTAAAGGATTAAAAATCAAAGATATGCCACTAAAAAATACAGATGAAGTGATAGTGAAGGTAGAAAACTGGTTAGGAATTTACAAGGTTATTCCCAGCATACCCTAATCCAGCAGCACTGACATTTAAATTTCCGAAGAGTACAAAGGAGCAACAGACAATATTTACCTCAATGCAAAACTCCCCAGTCTCAGGCTCCTTGGCAACTGTTGCAGTCAAGCCAGCAGCAGAGGATGATTTTCCAGATGTATACACAGATCTTGGAACTATGCCAGCAGTATATCTAATAATGATAAATTACCATGTATTAGTCATTCATTTGCATGAATGATATGACAGAACGAACACACATAGAAGGGTAAGTACTTGAGAAACTGAGACTTGGCACAACTGGGATCCCCAACAATACAAACATTAATGTCTCCTCTAAGATTGATGCCTTCATGAGTAAATTTGTGTACTCCACCCATGAGCATAAGAAGGATTGCTCGCTTTATATCTTGGTGACCAAAGACGGTTGGTGCTACGCTGTCAACAAGTTTGTTAAAGAAATCTGGAGTGTTCCTCATTCTTTTAACTTCATCAAGCTCCTGTGTCTGTAATGTAAGATAGTCAAATATAGGTTGGTTAATCAACCTTCGCAAGAAAGTGAGGAAGCATGTATGAATTTTCTCTTCAATATATGTAGCAGGAAAAATAATTATAATCAGAAATGCTGTTGCAGATTAAGTAAGCAGAATATATAGAATTCACTTGTTCACTGGAACCAAAACTAACGTGTCTGAAATAAGCAGAGCCATTTACTAGAATTGTATACATTGTGATATAGATATAAATAGTAAAAATATTGAGAAAAATTGAGAAAAATTGACAAGGATGAAAAATTTTGCAGCACGTTGACAAGGGGAAAAAGAAAATGAAGCTCAATTACTAAATGAAAGTAAACAAGGTCTTGATCAACATAGACATTCATAGTTGTCATACAGAAGGTGCATGCAGTTACTGATAAGTCAAAACAGATGAACACAAAAAAATGCGTGCCAAAAATCACATCATGTACTGACTGTAAATTGCTGTTCTTCGTCATCCGCATCCTTCTTTCTATTCCTGATGTCTGACTCTCTTCTCCCATCACATATCTGATGACCAAGCAATTATGAAACGTGTCTACATTAAACCGACTCATCTGAAGAAGTACAGAACACCAATTATAGCTGCTAACAAACCAACCTGAACAGAGTTGGCTATAAAAGCTAGTCGATATGAGAGGTCTCTGACTCCCAAAGCCCTAAGACCCCGCACACCTTCAGTTCCAACTGAAGAACTCTTGCGTTGAGAAGTTTCTCGGCGGCATTCAGCTCTCTCTCCAGGAGATGCTAATGCCAATATATCAGGTATGACAACCACAGTTCCTGTAAAGATCACCCTGTAGGGGACAGAATAAGAATGAATATGACTTCTAAATCAAGTTATAAGTACACTTCAGTTTTACTAACTCAGAAGATTTAAGGCATCAGAAGACTTACGTGTCACCAGCCCTGGCCTGTTCCACAATCTCATGACGTAGAATAACATCCAAAGACCTAGGAAGAGAGCCAGCAGGTATCTCTTTAGATGTCTCCTGCATTCTGACCCTCTGCCAATCAGTAAATTTGCTCTCTTGCCTCAGCAATGCCCACCTTGCCCCCTTTAAACAGGTTGCATTTAGACAGACCGCAGGCTACAAAGAATGAAAATTAGACAGTGAAGTCAAAATGATGACAAAGTAAATAGTTGATGATATAGAACAATAAATTAGAATCTAAAACAACAATACCAAATAAAAAAACTATTTGTTTTGAACTTTATTGCAATAAATAAGTTTCTATAATCACCTCAGTATACTTGAATTGCTGTTCAACATTCTTTACAACCCCACCACATTCTAAGCACTTGAAGGTTCCCTGGAGAAGCTCGGGTCGAACCTCACTTGTCCTTGTCACCACTCCTGTCACAGATACTAGTTTTCCAATTTCAGCTGTGGTTAGTTCCCTTAGCCTGCAGGTTTCAAATTGGGGATAAATGAGCTAAGTTGAAGCTAGAGAGAGTAGCAACCATGATAGAAGGAATCTATGTCCTGCATACTGTTGCAGAAAGGCTACATTCCATACCATAAAAAATGGGAAAGTCATAACAATACATGCTTAAATTTGTTTCCCACAGAAAATTCACTTACTCGGTTAGGACGTGGGCATTACAAATTGAAGTAACAAAAAGCTCAGAACTACAAATTTCAATTTAATAAACATACAGACAAAAAATCTACGATAAATGTGTTGTTCCCGTCGCCAAATTCCCTTTTTCTTGATTATCACAAGAGGTAGTAACGAAAAACTGACGATTCCAATATGATTTAAAAATGAATTAACATATTAAGGGGGAACGGGAAAAAATAGAAAACAGAAACTTTACCTCTTAACAAGTGGAATGTTGAAGAAGGCAATATTTATGTCTTTGTTAGGGTTATCGTCAGATATGACGGTTGGCTTCAACTCCATAACAAACCTCTTGCAAGCGTTTTTCAGGTAGGGCTCAAATCTATCAAAATAACCAATTCGGCTCATGATACGAGTGGCAATTTCATAAATCGTGAAACTTTTAGGGTTTCATAAAAATGTAGAAAGAACAGAACCTCAAGTATTCATCAGAGATGGCTTTCTGAAGAAGATCGTTGTAGAGAATGACATGTGAGAAATCGATGAACATTGTGTTGGATTCGTTGGCTTTCATTGCCTCAATCTCAGCTTCGTAATAGGGCTCTCTCTGCTGGCCGGACCGGAAACTGATTTTCCCAGACCAAATAAAACAATTAGAATTGAAAATAAGCAAATGCAATCTCCATAGACCCACACATCAAATCGAAGAGAACGAGAGCGAGAAAACACAAGAGAAGAGACCTCTTAAGAAATTCTAGGAAAGCGTCCTCAACCCTAGCAGCTTTCTCATCCACCGAGTACCCACCGTAGGCTTCCATCTACGTCTTCTTTCTCAGCACGAGACACCTCTTCACAACTGACACTGTTTCTTCTTACTCTTCCTGATTCTTAGAATTTGGATTCCGCCTCACTCCAAATGGGATCTCGCTGTATTATTGGCGGGAAAAGAGGAGAAAGGCGCCCAACGGTTTCCCGCCAAAAGTTGTGATTTCCGGGTCTCATACATGGGCTTCCAGTTCTGATGGGGCAGTACCCGATACTTTATCTACTCCACCCCAATTCTTATTCAAACAAAAACAACAAGAATAAGCAATGAAATGAAAATCATAAGAAAAAATTAATCTTTTAATTCTCTAATTTTTAATTTATTTATAATTTAATTCTTTAATTATGACTCATTGTAACTAAGTCTTTCAAGTATGACTCGCTTATGATTCAGTCCCTCAACTTTTAAATTACTTACAAATTAGTTTCTGAACTTTTGTTATTTTTTTTTCATGTTAGCTTATATCTCACATTAATGAGCAAAAAAATGATATTTTAGAATAATATATGAGCATTTTTTATCCCTCTTATTTAATAAGAAATTTAAAAAAATTAAAAAAAGGACCGAATTATAGGTGAATTGAAAATTGAGGGATTGAGTCACAGCGAGTCATATTTGAGAGACTAAGTTATAAGTGAGTTAAAAGTTAAAGGATTAAAAGATTAATTTTCCCAAATTGTAAAAAGAATTGCATGGGAATATACTTAGGGAAAATTACAATCAAGGACCGCTTGAGAAATATATTTACAGTCGAGGACCAATTAATTTTAAAATTACACTACAATCTCGGAGGTCCTAATTGTAATTAATTTGCATTATGAAAAGATAAAAATGCCACGATAATGGTTGTGTGTTCAAAGTTGATGAACAACACACCATTCATGAAAAAGCAACTCCCTTTTCCATTTTAATAAGAAATTATTCCATGTGTTTTAACTCATGATTTGTGAAAAGGCTATGTTTAAAATTGGTGAACAATGCATCATTCAGGAAAAAATAATTTCCCTTTTCATTTTAACAACAAATTATTTCGTGTGTTTAAACTCATAACTTGTGAAAAAGTTGTGTTCAAAGTTGGTAAACTACACACCATTCAAAAAAAGCAACTCCCCTTTTCATTTTAATGACAAATTTTTCCGTGTGTCAGAATTTCTAACTTGTGAAAAGGTTGTGTTTAAAGTTGGTGAATAACATACCATTCAAGAAAAAACAATTCCCATTTCTATTTTAACAAGTTATTCCTTGTGATTGTTAGGACCTCCATTACAAGGGCATTTTGTCTTTTCATAGTGCAAATTAATTACGGTTAGGACCTCCTAAACTACTTTGTAATTTCAAAATTAATTGATCCTCAACTGTGAATATGTTTTTCCAGTGGTCCTTGATTGTAAATTTCCCATTAATTAAGCGGGAATGACATTAAACAAACAAAAGATTGAATTAAGCTTAGATAATAAAAGGAAAGTTGAAACATCCTATTTTAGGAACCATAATTTGGCAATGGAAGCTATCTTAGGTTCATGAAGACAAGAAGGACTTAAAAATTTCAAACTCAATCTTGGTTTGATTTAACTTGATATTTTTAGAATTTTGGACTAACTTCAAAAATTCATAACTTATTTATAAAATTCAATTTGAGCTCATTCATGTCTCCTTTTAACAATAAATGACTCCTCTATATAGAAAAAAAAATACTAAACTTAGAATTTTACTGAGAAAATTAATACAATTTATTCATTCAGCTAAATTGCTCTATTTTCCTTTGTCCAACTTTTTAGATTTCTTGCCTTAGATTTGTAAATTAATATCTTAGATTATACTTATTCAAACTAGGTGATCTAGGACTTATTATAAAGCCTAGGTGTCCTTTATTAGATAAAAATATGGTGCACAATTTTTACATCTCCAATTAGTACAATTTTAATGAATTTTCAAAATTGCTTAGTTCTTAATCATATTGAGTCTAGATTTATGTGTCCTATATTGCAAAATTCACAACTAGAGACATAGAACTCCAATTGATGTAATCTTTGACTATTTGGAAACCTTATGATTTTAACTATTTTAGAAAAATATTAAAAATAATTTTATATTTCTCAATGGATATAGTCTATTTAATATTTAGGACTGTCTTAGATGGACTATGTACTGGATCCAAATTTTATGCTCAAGTTTGGAAAATTCATAACTTGAGTTGTAAGCATCCAATTGACATAATCTAATGTTCCATGAAAAGTTTAAGAAGTTCTCTATAATGGTAAATTATGTAACAGGACTTCGTGTGGTTCAAATGATACCATTTCATAGGTTAATAACTCATGTCTTGTTTTTCTGGTAAACTGGTCTCGGATTATGTTCTTGACTTGAATAATTCATAACTTAATGTATAGAACACAAAAATGCATGATTCCAAATTTATAAAACTTTGACATTCCATAAGCATTAGATTTGTTTAGACCACCCCTAAGACCTAAAAGGGCACTATACTTCTTAAAAGATTCATGCTCTGGTATGATTAATTTGATCTTATATGTTCATACATGACTAGCTCAAATGTGGAAACATCATTTCCATACATATATAGCTACTCTAAGGGTCATGGATACAGAGCAAAATATCGTTCTTTACTCCTCATGCACTTGTCAGAATATTCAAACAAAATATAGTACAACAATTTCCATATAATCAAGATTTATGCATTGTCTTGCCTTTGTCTTTGCTTGTGCTTGAACCTAGCATGGTTAGTATACTTTGGAGAGTGAGATTGTAAAAGTCTCAGTAGTAACTCAAGCCATTTCCACAAGCTAACATAGTTCATTCAAGTAACAACATAATTTTCAAGTACGCAAAACATGTTCTAACAAGACGTGGTACACATGCATTCTTTACAACATAATTCATGATTTTAAACACACATTCATATAAACATGGTACCATATTTATAGTAGCATGTTGCAACTAACAAATTCAACATCCATGTCAATCACATTAATGAAAATATGCACAAGGGAAAAAGACAAAGTTACCAGCTGGAGTTCCTAGCTTTCTTTCAAGCAATTTCTTAAATCAGAAGTTTCTGTCCAGGCCCTTCAAATCACAACTCTCTCTTTCAATGGTCTCTCCTAATATTGGTTTAGCTAATTATTGAATTACCTTGCTGCCTTCACTTTGTGCAACCTGTAAATCCCCTTTCTCCTAATTCTAAGACCATGGATATGTAGCTTTTAAGGAGAGGAGAAAGTTTTGTGAAGGAAGTTTGGGCTATAGATATAGTTTAGAGGAAGAAAGTGGTAGGGTTCACTCTACCTCAATCCTAAGAGTTCTCCATTCAGTAACATTGAAGACCCAAATCCTTTCTCTTCAGGTCTTGAATAGCAGACGAAATGAGAAAGATAATGAAGAAAAATGGCAAAGCATATATAAAAATCCTTTCTCTTCAAGTCTTGAATAGTAGGCGAAATGAGAAAGATAATGAATAAAAATGCCAAAGCATATAGAAAAAGGGCATTTGAAGAAAGTGGAAGCGGTGGTTATAAAAATTTGTCAAATGAAAATAAATTAAGCAAATCTCTATTGGTTGCCACACACATATCCCATTTCATGCCATTGTAAATGTAGGATGATGACACCAAATCTAATCTTGTGCCACCTGTTATAATTTCTCCACTAACTCAAATCAATTTCAATATTTAGAAGAGAGATAATCGAACTTGCATTCTTTTCATTCCTTCTCAATCTTTTATAATATACTTGATGGGAAAACTACATAAATGAATAAGACGACATAGGTTAGTGGTGGAATCTTGATTTTAATTCAAATTGTGCTTGTTAGATATGGCAACACATTCAAGAGAGGGGTAAATTGGGTGTTTGAGAAATTTTCAATTTTCTTAAATCTTTTCAGCAAAACTAGGTGTAGATAAAAGTTTAAGTAAATTCAAGTACTAAACTCTCATTGTAAGAATGCTAAAGTAATTTTCACAAGCTCAATATGTGTAAAATCAATTTCAAAGTAAAAATTTTAGTGATAGCATGTAGATATATCAAGTTTAATTTTATATACTAAAACATAGTATTAATTAAGGTTGTTGAAAATATAAATAGTTAAGGAAAGAGAAAGTGCAAACTATAGTTTATCCTAATTCAGCTCCACTACTTGAGCCTACATCTAGTCCCCAAGCAACTACTTGAGATTTTTTCATTATAACACAAGCTTAAGTGGTGCTTGCCACCACAATACATTCACAAGTTTAGTTCGGTCACTTGTAGTTGCTAAAATGCATGTTTTGATTTAAAATATCTTGAGCCAATATTTCATATCTAAATCAATGAGTTTAACATAAAGACTTTTAGCCTAATGATATTATACCTATTAAGTCCAAGGCTTTCAAGGTGTATCCAAGTTTGTATGAATGTTTTCAATCTTTTTAAACTCTTCTTGAATCATCCTTCTCTTTACGTTCTCCCATGTTGAGTGTGGCATGCATGCTAATGATGTCTTTGATTTTTTCTCTCATGCTTACTCGCATCCTTACTTTGGACAACTTTAAATGATATATCATAAATAAATGGTTAGTCCAAGTATCAATATGCATATAAGTATAGGTATGAAGATTATGATATTATGCATATAGTTAACTTATCTATATTTGTCATCATCAAAACTTAAGCAAAACATAATATTATAAGCCATTATGTCCAACAGTGCTACCACCTATAACTCTGGCTAACAATAACAAGGTTTTACAACTTATGATCCTTTGTCAAAAATTAATATAGATTGGTGACACATATCTGCTAAATATTGCTTAATTATTAATATTGAATTAACACCTTGTCTCATGAGTGGTAATTAGAAGACGTGAAGCGAGAGAGATAAATGTGGTCTATATATATTTCCTATGTTTCCCTTTCTTTTCTAGGTCAATGATTTTGCCATCAATTTCCCACTGATTCTTGACTTAATAATTTTTATTTCCCCTTTGAGGTATAAGTAGGAATTAAATATATCTTCAATTTTATCTCATCCTCATATAAATACATGGTGAATTTCAATTACCATGAAATAATCTATACAAATATTTAACATCTCTAATTCTAT